GCATTATGCTATTTCGTTGTAGCTTATTTTTTGTTTGAAGTTGTTGAGATAAAAAAAATGATGACTTAAACAGAACATGTAAAAATAATAAAATATTGCTTACTAAAATTACTTTTAATTTCAGAGACAGGCTGCTAAACAGAGTTTGTTCCCAGTTTTTAACTCTCCTGCTGTTCTTGGGTTAAAATGAGGCACAGGGCAGCTGAGGGTTATGTGTTATAAGATATAACATGTTCACTCAACCTGAAGTTGTTTTTTTAACATTTTCATGATATTGAGCTTAAAGATTCACTCAATGATATCGTACATAGATGTTCAACTGAATGATGGAGTTAGAAAATGTTCATTCGAGTCACTCTAGATGTATTGATATGCAGCTTTGAAATGCAGGTACGCACTCAATGTAAACAAAACACTCAGCACAATCCACTAAAATCACGTGAAAGCTTGATTTGTGTATTTGACTCACATGGACATGTGTCAGCAAACAAAGATGAAGTGGACAAGTGTGGAATTTAGAAAATGGTTCTGTAGAAACAGAAAAGTCTGAACATGACAACAAAAGAAAGTTTGAGTAAAACGACCTTCAAGAGTAAATATCTGTGATCMAGCATGGTGCCATAACTGTCTAAAACTTTTGCAAGAATGGTAAATTTATCATTCCATCCTGATTTTACTTGCTTTTCTCAACAAATCTGTTGAATATGAACTAATGCATCCCTTTTTTAAACTTGATATCACCATTCACTGGTTTCACAAACCAGTGAGAACAAACAAATGTATAGTCAGCAGCTGTCCCCAAGTTTTACTCATAAATATAAATTTAAAATACATTAATCGTCATTATGAGATTTTGTTTCATTATGATTTTCTTTTTAACTTTGYAATACAGATTCATTTTAGTCAAACAATTTTTGAACAAATAGTGACATGTTTTGTTGTGTTCTCTTAAAACAATCTTATTTAAAAAGGTCACATAATAAGGACCTTTATTTTGAAAATAATGTTTTACTTTAATCAAACAAWATATTTCTCCCAGGCTAAAATAAACTGAGCGACTGAACAATTACATTAAATGTTTTAATCAGCCATTAATTTATCTGATAAATTGGCATTAATTAAATCAATTTATTAGTAGATTAAAACTTTCAGTCATTTTGCTTGTGTTTGTTACATTTTACACGTGAGGACACAGACTGTTTACATGAGTGGATTTAGAATTCATTTAACAATAATAAAAATAACAACAGATTATTCTTAAGTGTAATGTACCATCCATCCATTATCTGTACCCGCTGTACCAATTAACCTAACACTCATGCTTTGGGTCTGTGGGAGGAAGCCGGAGTACCTGGAGAGAACCCACACATGCATGGAGAGAACATGCAAACTCTACCCAGAAAGGTCCCCGGGCCAGGATTTGATCTGGCAACCTTCTTGCTGAGAGGCATCAGCCCTACCATCTGAGCCACCGTGCCACCTAAGTGTACAGTAACTGACCAATAATCATCTATTAATCTGTACATTGATTTGAACTTAATCAATGAAATAAGCTGAATCGAAATATTCTTATTTCTTAGAAATAACTGGTCCATTAGTGAACCAGTTACATTTTGATAAACGAACAGTGGAAGCAACATTTTGTCATCTCTCCTCAAATGTCTCATGACTAGCAGTTCACATTTTTCAAAAGGAAAGAAAAAGTGCACYATTTCATTGATCAAGTTCAAATCAATGTATAGATTAATAGATGATTATTGGTCAATTACATTACACTTCGGTGGCACGGTGGCTCAGATGGTAGAGCTGGTGCCTTTCAGCAAGAAAGTTGCCAGTTCGATTCCCAGCCTGGGGACCWTTCTGGGCAGAGTTTACATGTTCTCTCCGTGCATGCGTGGGTTCACTCCGGGTACTCCGACTTCCTCCCACAGACCAAAACATGACTGTTAGGTTAATTATTACAGATGACTTAGATGTAGAATTAAGTCATTTCTATTACACATTAAGTTTATTGTTTTTAATTCCAGTCAATATTTTTGTGTAGGTTTTAATTAACTCAGTACTGGTTTCTATCCAAATCATTTATATTAAATTAATAGCCATTAAGAGTTCCATTTAATTAATATTTACTCAATTCCAAACATTGTAAAATTTAATTAATAATATTGCTTGTAATCTGTTGCCTCATTTTTATTGAGTAGACATGGTGTATTTTTTACAGTGCATCTGCTAGATCC